AAAGAAATGCCACCAAAGAAGCTTAAGAGTTAAGTTTTATTTCCATTTTTTTTTTTTCCATTTATTTACTTAAGCTACTTTTGTTTTTAATGACAAAAGATAACATACAGAAATTTAGGTTAACAGAAGCACAGAGCCTACAGATAAAACATAAGTGATACAAGAACATATAGAGCACATAAAAAGGGAATAAGCTTGATTTTTCTCCATTGTAACAGAAGATTACGACAGTTCTTTATCCGCCACAGTGAGGGAAGTTTGTCCCAAAGCTTGCTGCTGTATTTATACCCTACACCTTAATGAAGGGAACTTCATTTGGGTGTGAAGGTGATTACAAACAAAGTGGGAGTGAGGGGGGTTCAGTTTGGGAAAGGCCCAGGACAGCTACCCTGTTTACTCCAGTCAGCACAGTGGTCATGTGATCGCAGCCTTCTAAAAGACTTGAGTAATGCGTGAATTACTGACTCATCATTATGTGGGATATGTACAAATTTTTGTGCAATACTTTTTGCAGGAAAACGTGCCAACAGTGCAGGACAACAGTCTAAATTCATCAGGCAGGTCTCAAATAAAACAACATGTCTACAGCCACACTGTGAAGATGTAATGCTCATGAACACAGTTCCTGGTTAAATAGAAAAACAAAAAAAAATACTTTGATCTTTACCTGCGGAAGCCAAGAATTCCCATGTTGCTTTTTAATTTTTTTGTATCTTAATTGCTGGCATAAATTATCTCTTTATTTCAGCATGATGATAAAATTGTCTCGTTATCTAGAGAAAATAGTGTATTAAGATAACAAAACAGCAATATCAGTATTGTCTTTAGATAACAAACAATGTTATGTGTCACGCGCAAAATAGCAATTACAACTTGACATTAGGTAGCTAGCTAGCTAGCTAGCTACCAAGACCTTAGCATAAAACTAATGTTTTTTTGTTTGTTTCTTTTGTTTGATTAGAGAAAATGATATTACACATAATACCTTTAAACAAAATTAAACTAAAATAATATGATTATTAATTTATTTTTTAAAGGTCTGGTGTAGGATTTAAGGGGATATTTTGGCAGAAATTGATTTAAATATTCTAAGAGGTTAGGGCTAAGTGGTAGGGGCACGGGGTGTATTGGGATTGAGTAAAGACTTTGTCTGCAGCTTGCATATACATTCCAATGAACCTGTTAGCATTGTTGACTTCACTGATACTGAAAAATAAATGAGATGCAGCGTAGTATGTAACTAAGCTTAAAGTCACTTTTAGGCTTGTCAGTCAGGATGTCGGTGCATCAGAACAATCACTGCAGGATAAGGTGACAAGTGCATTTTTCTAACATGAGGCTGCACAGCACAACTAGGGTGCCATTATCACTGGTTGTGTATGACTGCTCTCATGAACAAGCAAGATTTAGATCTTTATAAGAATTGTCAAATCAATGTAAAAAGATCACTGACTTTTTTTTTCAATGTTTCGTTTGGACTGTTGGATCGAAAAATGGAAAACTAGAAAACTTTTACAACCTTAAAAAAAGAGCACATTTGACTTGTTTCACAATCACAAACTCAGCAAGCTAAAAATATTAGCAGGAACTTGTTTGGGTGACACAAACGCCATTCTCATTTTCTTTTGTTTTTTATGTTGTACTTTCCAGACAGACAAGAACGGCTGTGCTACTTTTATTTTCAAGATGTCAACTGTCCCACAACCAAACTTCCCCCCAATTTTTTCCCGCTTTTTTTTGCTGCCAGAAGATAATCTGGTTCTCAGTGCCAAGGTGACAGAGGATGGGACAGGTATGGGTTTTTTTTTTTTTTCCAGTTATTTTTGGAAACAGTGTATTTTGTTTTAAGAAGGTTGCACACTGTTTTAACAGGGAGCCTTTTTTTTAACAGGAATTTCACACTCACAAGGAAAAGCAGTAAAGATTTCTTATGTCATTGGAAAGCTTTCTTTTATTGACACACCCAAGATTTATGACCGGGGATCAGTTGTGGAAGGAAAAGTAAGTGCAAAGCAGTTGTGATTGTGTACACAGTAAAACTGAAATAATGATGACTTTCAGTGATACGACTTTGTGGTTCCAACAGGTTAAAGTGGTTCACTACAATGATACACCCATTCCTGACACAGTGGTCTACCTGTTCAGTGGTGGCACGTGGTCATTGCATCTGACACAGAGCCTCACAACAGACAGTTATGGTGTTGCCACTTTCTCATTTAACACATCGACTCTGAACGGGGACATCACACTTAGAGTAAGTAAGATTATATTGAATTTATGTCCATGAACCAGTGTTTTCTGTCACAGCAGTTTCATGAGCTACATTTGGTTCTGGGATACACACTGGAGACTTGTAGAAATAAAAGGACCTTCAGTGTTTCCCCTAGGATGGAGTTGTAGCAGCGGAGGTGAAGCACACACATGGAAAAAAAAATTTCACACGCGCAAAACTTTTTTGTACACTTGCAAAGCACAGCCTGCTGGGATGTTTCTATGTATCTACTGGCACCAGAAGGGCTCTTTAGGACTGAGTACATACAGTACATGTGTGCACAGTAATGAGCAGGTGAAATGTCTGTCTTACATATGAGGTGTCTCAAGATTTAGGAAAATACAATTTTGTTGAACATAATAAAAGTAAAAAGTCACTTGACATGCTGCTGTTTTGTGCTATGACCTATTTAAGTGCTGGAAGTTGTTATTTACATCACAACGCCTGAACGCAACACAGACTCTGCTCCAAATGAGTGTGTGTACAGTGCCGTGCTGCGCTGCTGTGCAAGCAGCTTGTTTGTCTGTGTGTAACAGCAGTCTTTTGATGGTTATTAACACACTGTCCATAATAATAACTATGTTAGGTAACAAACTGCATCGGGCTTGGGTCGGGTTTGGTCAGGAAAATACAGCCCAAGCCGCGCTCTAGCATTTTCCCCAGTGAGCGTGCGGCGGTGCACCGCTGCTAGTTGCATATAGGGGAAACACTGACCTTCTGTCACCAGTGGGCAGAGGTGGAAAGTAACTAATTACATTTACTCACGTTACTGTAATTGAGTAGTTTTTTTGTGTAATTTGTAATTTTTTCAGTTGTTTTTGAAATCTGTAATTGTACTTTTACTTAAGTAAATTTTGACTTAAGTATTGTACTTTGCTACATTTGAAATCACATCCGTTACTAAGAAAAAAAAAAGAGAGAAAAAGTTTTCGGCTAAATGGAAACCAAAAGGGTGAATGTCGGAAATCTCGCGTGGAATTGACCCAGAACAAGCGGCCAGTGCCGGCGAGTTACTGGAGAGAGAGATGGAGAAGGGTGGGAGTGCTTTGGCAGAAGCAGACGCAGCAGTTGAAATTAACGAAGAAACGAACGAAACGAAAGAAAACCCCGTGTGCACAGTGCCTTTTATAATTGTAGGTCAGAAGAATGTGTCCCAAGCCGCGCTCTTGTGTGCTCACCTGTGTGTGTGTGTGTGTGTGCGTGTGTGTGTGTGTGTGTGTGTGTGTGCGCACGCATCGGGGCTGAACTCTGCCGTGCGCGATACAGAGAGCAGAGGAGGATTGTAAAGGTGCGACCATGTAGAGACAGAAATGACATGCCGTCGTTTAAACAATATAAGTCATCATGTTATAAAGCGAAACGTTTCACCATATAACACTATAAATAGTATATCGTTACGTTATTATATGAAGCATCCATCACGCAAAATAATATAGCTTTAGTTTATGAAGAGATAAGACGGAGCCCTCTCCTCTTATATGCTTTACTCACAAGTGTGTGAATTGACCTGGATATGAAGTGTCCGTAGCGCCAAATAATATAACAGCAGTTTCTAAAGAGCCAAGACAAAAAAAAAAAGAAAAAGAAATCAGCAGCAGCGATCATATTTCAGCAGCGGAGCACCACCGCTGCTAGTTGCATAGAGGGGAAACACTGTTGCTCAACGGATTTGTTCTGTTTTGGAATACACAGTACTCTTCCAAATTAGTGTTTGTGTATTTTAATATTCAGAATTTCGCTTCGACAAGCTCTCTCTTTTTTGACCATACACCTGTTTGCATCCCTGAGAATAATACCCAAAAATATTGCTCAAAAAGTTGCTCTGTGTATCAACAGTCTAACAGTTGTGTTGGTGAGTCAAAATGAATGAGGGCTGCGCAATATTAGACAAAACTGACAATGCGACGGCGATTTGGTATACTGCGATATGTATTATATACAGTGTATTGCAATAACTTGAATAGCTCTATTTGGAAAGAAGTCATCATTTGGGATTTGGAAAGGCTGTATTTGCATGAAATATACATTTTACAATCAAACTGTCATGGAAACTGAGAACTCACAACCTAAAGTATTAACCAGCAAAATAAGTATGGCATATTGCCTTTGACTAATATTATATTGATATGATGAACTTATACTGCGAGTCTCACAATGTGACTATTGCACAAGAACATATTGCGATGGTGATGCTCTAATGATATTGTGCAGCCCTAAATTTGATTGAATTTTACGGTTCATCATAGAAAACTAACCAGTTTTTGGATTGGATTTATGACCCCTGGACCATTTTTGCACTGCATAGGAGTGACCCCCATCAAGTTATTGGAAGTAACTAAGTAACTTCTACTTTAAGTACATTTTAAACAAACTACTTTTTACTTAGCTTTACTTGTACTTAAGTAGAATTTCATCAAAGTAAAGCTACTTTTACTTGAGTAGAATTTTTCAGTACTTTTTCCACCTCTGCCAGTGGGCAAACTGACATGAAAGGTGGCTTTTGGCGTCAGTGTCTGATGCTGAAAGCACTGCCAAAGCTGCGGTATTTGACAACTTTTGAATGAGACCGGGCTGGAATGGCATACTGCATGTAGATCTATACTGGGATCAAATGTTTCATCATCAGTATTGTGATTACACGGTCCAGCTTTGTTTTTCTCACTTGGGTCTTGGATGTGCACCCTTTGTGTTTTCCAGGACCTCCTGATTCACTAATAAAAACTACATGTGACTAATTTAACCACTGTTAGTTGATGCTTCTTCTCAACACCCCAGGCTCGTCTTACAAAAACGCCAGAGCACACAGACAGACACCCATACTATCAGGAGGCAGTTCACACCTTGTCCCTGATCCGGCCACCTTCTCCTCATTCTATAACTGCCAGTTCTCTGGAGTTGAAGAAGAAGGACAAACCGCTTCGCTGTGATAGAGAAGAGACCATCTCCATCCAATACACTATAGCTGGACAGAGCCAGAGCTCTGTGGATGTGATGTATTTGGTGAGTCCTGGTGAAGTCGCCTGTTTCTTTAGCCATAGTGTGACCCCTAATCAGATGGATTATCCCCAAGTCAAGTGGGCTGAAGCCTGCAGGTCTTCCTTTAATTTTCCTACAATGTTTTTTTTTTTTGTTGTTTGTTTTGTTTTTTCAACATTGCTGGTGGTCACCTTGCAGTCCATACTGAGGGCCAGCCCAACTGGCATTTGGTAGAATTGCCCAATGGCCAGTCTGAGCCTGTCTGTAACTGAAGTATCCTGTCAAGGGTAATAAGGTTTTACACAGCAGAGTAACTTATTGATTTATGTTTTTCAGATTTTATCCAGAGGGGCCATTGTCATGCAAGGATTTAAAAAGGTTGAGCACAGTGAACAAGGTAGGTAAAGATTGTTCCTTAAATGATGAGTTTAGCTGCAGGCTTGTAGCCTCATTTCCATGTTCTTTCTTATAGCCAAATAGACTTCCGACTGCTGTTTCACTGATCAGTGGAGGCATGTGAATGATTGTTGTTTCTATCTCACACAGGCTCTGCCCTCTACCTGACTCTATGGGTAATGCTGCTCCAATCACAAGCATGCGTTCACACACTGAGATCTGAATAAATGTAGCCGAACAATGGGACGTGCCTACCTAAATACATGCGGAATCCACTGTGTATAAGGAGGTGGCTTGCCTACCATCAGTCAACCTACACCCTGTTTGGTGACAGCGAATTGCACACTGTTTGTGTGCTTTGGTGTGTGGCCAGTAAGGCCCTATCCAAGAAACGCCCTGCGAGATGGCTTTGTGAATGCATCTGCCAAGCCAATAGGCAGGTGGACAGGGACCGTCCCGCTGTGGTCTGTGCCCACTCCAGAGAGTGTCGGTGGACTTGTTCAGTGGGGTGAGTGTCGAGGATGTATGTAGGGCAGCATCAATGGTCTACACCCCATCTGTTCATACGTTTCTATCTCTTGGACATGTTGGGGTCTTTTTCAGGGTCTGTGCTCACTGGAGTGACACAGGACTGGTAAAAAGGGTTTGGTGTATGTCAACGGTGTTGCACCTGACTCCCCTTTCGGCGTGATACACAAACATGTTTCCTTGCTCCTTGATGACCTGGGAAATGTGGGGTGCAGGGTGTCTATTGCTTGTCTATTGACCCCTGCAAGGTTAGGCCGAAGCTCCGGCCAGTTCAGTTGCTCACCTGGGTTGGCTAGGGCCCCCTACTAGAAGTCAAAGTCTACAGTGAGTAACCTTAAGCTGGTCAGGTTCAGTAAAGCTTGGTTGATGTTATGTCGTGACAGGGTGTTCATTCATTGGGCTCCACCTGCTGAAGAGGGTGTAGATTGACTTATGGCAGCACCTCTCATATACAGTGGTCTCCACATGTGTTCATGTAGGCGTGCCTGATTGGCTAGCTGTCAGTGTATGAACCTGTGCTCATGATTGGAGGAGTATTACCCACAGAGTCCAGAAGAGGGCTCCACCTGTGCTGATAGAACTAGGGTTACAATATTGTAATCTTCGTTTCAACAGTTGATCTGTTGTTTCAGTGTCGGAGGGTGAGGTGTCCTTTGAGTTGAAAGTGTCTCCAGACATTGCACCAGTTGTCCAGGTTGTGGCTTACGCCATCCTCTCCAGTAAGACTGTGATCGCCACCAGTGCTGACTTCTCCACTGAGAAATGCTTCAGTCACAAGGTCAGTGTGAGAAAAAGGCATGTGATGTGCCAGGTTGATATTTAACTCTCTCTTTGGTAAAGGCTTTATATGATGATGTTTCGTTTAGATTTTAGATTTATCGTACAAGTGATCAAAATTTTCTGGTGAAAGACGACAGCCTGAACTAAGAGAAAACACTTGTAACAGAATATGTTATCATTAGTCGATAAACAGTAGTACTTCCCTGATCAGTGTGAGCTATTTGACTAGCCTGAGTGTCAGACTGAAGCTCCCAGAACCTTCAGTCTGACATCGCCTCCATTGAAGGCGATTTACAAGGGGGAGGGAATTTGATTTTTCCCTAACCAATCAGTAGAGATCAACGACTCACCCAGAATCTGACGTCATTAGTATCCATGCCTTGGGGGTGCCGAAAACAAGCAAATTGGCGTTATATGGTTACAAGTACAAGTGTAATGGCTAAGTTCTATACTGTAGCCACTACTGGCTGCTAATGCTAACTCGGCTAAGTTAATTGTTTTGATGTACGCTCAAAGAAAGCGATGCACGTCCTCATTTAGAACTTAGAATAATCCGGCAATTTATTTTCCACAAAGTTTTGTAAACGTCATATCCAACAACATAAAAATAATAACACAGATTACTTCACAAAGCACAGTGAGGGCAGTAGAAAACTAACTGCTCCCCCCAAATTAGCATGGCAAAAACCTGTACTTTGTTTGAACCAGGTTAAATGGCCTGAGTTGACCCCAGGTCAGCGGCAGCTGCCGCGATACCAAATACAGCCCCATAGTGGTACGGAGGAACCATTTCAATGAGTAAATAATAAATGATAAATTAAATATGGCTCATACAACATACAAGAGTCTGAAGTAACTGCCCATGTATATTGACAAACTCAATGAGGCTAGCTCTCTAGCCTAGCTCTAGAATTAGCCTGTGTAGAATCTAGTTTGCTAGATAGCGATACAGTTGCAAGCATATTTAAGGACCACTCGTTTGGCATTCTTAGTTTTCACCCTCAAAGTTCAAGGCAACAATGCAGCTAAGCCAATTAAAAATACAGTTCTCCGAAGGATCAAAACTTACCTTGCCTTACCATTCACTCCCAGGAGCTGTGTTGTTTATTTTGCCACTGTCCAATACTCTGCTTTGTTTTTGTTTTTCTCTTTTTTTCTGTTCAAGCCGCACATGAATGGTCAATATGTGTGGTGTATGTGTTCGCGCTGAGCAGAGGGGGGAGAGGTGGGGTTACAAACACACAGCAAGGTGAGCACATGAACAGGAGGGAGGGAGACGAGGCTGGTAACCTGGGCACCGAGCGAGGTAGGGGAAAGTGTAAAGTGTACAACAGAGGCTTTGGAAAGTAATAACAAGGATACAGGCAGATGCATTATCATAGGCCTACACACTTGTAAACAGGTCCTGGAAGAAGATCAGCTCTGCACTCAGGATTTCAGGTCAATAGGCTATACAATGCTTGTTATGGTTGCTCAGATCCACCCCTCGCTCTCCCCAGCGTCAGCCAAGATGGCAACAGCCGAAATGCCAAAGTCGAGGCTTCAAAACGGCAGTGCACAAACTAATGTGTGACGTCACAGTAGATACTGTCAATTTTTGTAACATATGACCACTCCTTTCAAAATAAGATCATTCTATGTTAAGGGGAAGCAACAATAAAAGCCACAAATACAAATTACAATAATAAACATAAACATATTACTTTTCAACTGCATGTTGAATGTATTGTTGTCATTTACCCAGAGTCTGTTTTCACTTGGACCTGGTAACTTTTTCATACGTGGTTACTTTTATTAACGGGCTATTGTAATGAAATGGGATGTAGCTGAGGTGAGATGACTGGAATGTCACATGTTTACAGCAGTGTGTGTGTTTGTGTGTCTGTGTGTGTTAGGCATCTCTGGAGTTTTCTCCATCCTCAGCTGTCCCAGGGGAGGAGACCACCCTGCAGGTGACGGCCCAGCCAGACTCTCTGTGTGGTGTGAGCGCTGTCGACCAGAGCGTCCTCATCAAGGAGCCCGGGAAGACTCTGAATGCAGACAAGGTAACTGCTGGAATCCACAAAAAATAGACAAATAATGATAGTAAAAATGTGAACACTGAGAAGCAGTGTGATATTCATGGACAGGATCTGAAGGCACAGCCGGGGGGAAGAAGGAGTCCGGTTTGGTGACCTCAGAATTCCATCTCTGCTTTTTGCAGATGATGTGGTTCTATTGGCTTCATTGCACCGTGACCTCCAGCATGCACTGGGGTGATTAGCAGCTGAGTGTGAAGTGGTTGGGATGAGAGTCAGCACCTCCAAATTTGAGGCCATGTTCTCAGCCGGAAAACAGTGGATTGCCCCGTCTGGGTTGGAAGTGAGTTACTGCCCCAAGCAAAGGAGTCCAAGTTTCTTGGGGTCTTGTTCATGAGTGAGGGTAGAATGAAGCGTGAGATGGATTGGTGGTTTGGCGCTTCGTCTGCAGTGATGTGGGCACTGAGCCGGACCACCATGGTGAAGAGGGAGCTGAGCTGGAAGGCAAAACTTTCGATTTACTGGTCCATTTACGTCTCAACCCTCACCTATGGTCATGAGCTCTGGGTAGTGACCGAAAGAATGAGATCACGAATACAAGCATCTGAAATGAGTTTCCTCTGTAGGGTGGCTGGGCTCAGCCTTAGAGATAGGGGGAGGAGCTTGGACATCCGGAGGGAGCTCAGAGTAGAGCCACTGCTCCTTTGTGCCGGAAGGGGTCAGCAGAGGTGGTTTAGGCTTCTGATCAGGATCCTCCTGGGTGCCTCCTGTTAGAGGTGTTCCGTTCCAAGCACATCAAACAATCAATCAGTCAATTCATTTTATTTATAAAGCCCAATATCACAAATCACAATTTGCCTCACAGGGCTTTACAGCATACGACATCCCTCTGTCCTTATGACCCTCGCAGCGGATCAGGAAAAACTCCCAAAAAAACCCTTTGACGGGGGAAAAAATGGCAGAAACCTCAGGAAGAGCAGCTGAGGAGGGATCCCTCTTCCAGGACGGACAGACGTGCAATAGATGTCGTACAGAACAGATCAGCATAATAAATTAACAGTAATCCGTATGACACAATGAGACAGAGAGAGAGAGAGAGAGAGACAGAGAGAGATGCAGGACAGACGGTAATAACAGTAGCTTACAGCAACATTAATGAAAGTAATAATATTATAGTTATAGTTCTGGCTACTGTGGTACAATATGTTGAAAGTATGTATTAACATCTGGCAATATACATATGTGACAATAATCATATGTGTATAATAACAGTAGAAGTATGACTAATGACTAATGATGGCAGCAGCAGCAGGAGGCATCTGGCAGGACCACGGCAGCAGCACAACCACACACGTCACACTGTCCAGGCACCGCTGTGATATGAGTTAATCTGAGAGACAGTGGAGCACAAAGGCTCCGGAGAAGAAGCCGAGTTAGTGACATCCAGAATGGCCGAGTTAGCAAGATGCAGTAACAGGACATGAGAGAGAGAAACAGAAGGAGAGAAGGTGCCCGTTGTATTAGGAGGTCCTCCGGCAGACTAGGCCTAAGTCAGCCTAACTAGGGGCTGGTACAGGGCAAGCCTGAGCCAGCCCTAACTATAAGCTTTATCAAAGAGGAAAGTCTTAAGTCTAGTCTTAAATGTGGAGACGGTGTCTGCCTCCCGGACCGTAACAGGAAGATGATTCCACAGGAGAGGAGCCTGATAGCTGAAGGCTCTGGCTCCTGATCTACTTTTGGAGACTTTAGGGACCACGAGTAACCCTGCGTTCTCAGAGCGCAGTGTTCTGGTGGGATAATATGGCACTATGAGCTCTCTAAGATATGACGGAGCTTGACCATTTAGAGCTTTATAAGTTAACAGTAGGATTTTAAATTCACTGGTAGGAGGCCCTGGGGCAGACCCAGAACACACTGGAGGGATTATATATCTCATCTGGGCTGGGTACACCTCGGGGTCCCCCAGGAGGAGCTGGAAAGCGTTGCTGGGGAGAGGGACGTCTGGAGTGCTTAGCTCGACCTGGCCCTGGATAAACGGTTGAAAATGAATCGATGGATGGATGGATAATGTGAAGGCATTAGGATACAGGAAATCTGTTCAGAATACAAACTATAATTGTTCGGCCTGTGGTGTTGCTGCTTGCAGCTTTCTTGAGAAGCTCAACTTCACACTCACCACTGTGCGTCTTTGGGTCGAGAGCAATACACCTGAACATTTTTTTAAAAAGCACTTAGAAAAATAAGCAACTCAGTGGAAAACTACTTACATACTGTGTACTTGTACTTCTACTTAAGAGAAAAACATTATACTACTATATTTACCTACAGAGACATGTTAGTGGTTACACTGTAGATTCAGATTTTACTCACAGAATGTAACAATTATAATATCATTTTTTTCTGATTTTTCAAACTATCCAGCAATGTATAAGAACTGAAAGCTCCACCTTAAACGGATGTTAAGTAATTGTTAGATGTTAAGTAAACCTTTATCCATATTCTCCTCCCACCCCCTGTTTCATCCATCCCTGACCACATGCATTAATTTTTTAACACCTGTATGGTGCAGAAAGGGATAAGAAACGCGTGACATCATGTTTAGCAAACGATTTCTTAAAAATGGTGCAAGGGCCACAGAATAATTTGAGAGTTAACAAAACTGTTAAAACCATAACTTTTTGAAAAGAACTGGACTAAAATTAGGACTATTCATTAACAACAGTTTTGTCTATATTTTAAATTTTAAAACTGGCTCAAAAAAGATTATTGAAGTTAATATTTTTTGACACTACAGATGAAGGGTGAATTCACTGAATATTTCTCTTTTCTGTGTTGCACTTTGTAGTTGGTACCTGTGCACTTGGCTCCCAGCAGGCTGCACACGTACAGTAGAGCAGCTCCACAGTCTTCCTCTCCTCATCACATGTCAGATATCCTTAAATGAATTATCAGTGCCATGATGGAGACGCAGATATTTCCCGTTGATTTTGGTTTATAAAAGACAAGTGGGAAAGCAATTCAGCGTCTGTGTCTGCTCGCACCAGGCAGTTGGTGAACCCGAATCTGAGTCAGAGTTGGAGGGAGAAGGTGTGATTTTTACGCCAGACAAGCTTGCGTGTTGTTAAGCTTAATGGTGGGTTGTTGCCTGAATTAGTCTTGCTGTATTGAGATTTATTTCATAAGTGTTGATTTCACAACAGTGACAAACAATACTGAGGCTTAGGGCAATCACTATCATCACCAGGCTGTTCACTAAAGCAGGTCAGGGAGACGTGATGCTGCTCTGCAGGACGCTCGATTTGTGAGTGGTAACCATGATGGCTGTGACAACAAGTGAAGGCGAGGAATGAGGGGCAGGGGCCCCTGCAGGCTCTCAGAAACTCAAATGCCAGACGAGAATTGATGCCATGGGCCAAACTTAAAAACTAAAATATAAAATTAGAAAAAGAAATGGGAAAAAAACTGTCTTGCAAAAAGCACTTATCTAGTCAGAAGCTAAAAAGGCAGGTGCTTGAGCACCATCTGTAAGTTTTTTGTATATATTGGGACATTTCATGTCTTAATTAGAATAGAGAGATGACAGGAAATACATGGAGAGAGATGGGAAACCACATATAAAGCTTCTCAGCTGGACTCAAACATGTCAGTTGTGATTTATGCTCTTAGTGCTGACTTTGGTGACTCATGTCAAAACACATTGGCAGATGCACAAAATTTATCTTCGTGTTGCTGTTTAATTATTAATGAATGCATCTCATCAGTAGAAAAAGCAGAAAGAGATTTTAAGCTTTGGCACTGACAACATAGTGTGGGAGAAATTATGTCTTTATCAAAACACAAAGACAAAGGACTAGAAGCGCTGCTGGGTCTTAGTAGTAGTCAGATATACAGGTGCTCTTTGGATACTTCGGGTGTACTTTGTTTACTCCGTCTTGTGAAGGGCTCATTGCATGAGTAAATTATACTTTCAATCCAAAAATATAAAATGCAATGCTCCCTCAAACAATCCAAGGCACTCTATAGGGTTTGTGCAAAAATTTAGATGCCTTTATTTTACTACTGTACTTTATTTTTTCTATTGACATCATAGATTAAAAAGACTAACGACTTGTGACTCACAGGTCTTCATCAGGGTCATTATATCTTCATCATTTAGGATTCATCTGAATGGCCTTTGTGTGGGAAACTCTGATGTGCATGATTTCCTGACAATATAATGATTTTAAATGAATCTAAAAAATGAAAGCATAACTTTTTAACAGCCCTGTAAAAATAAATAAATGTTAGCTTCTTTAATTTCAGATATTTGACCTGTTGCCTGTCAAGAAAGCACCCAGTGTTCCACATGAGGTTGAAGATCATGTGCAATGCAGCAGTTGGAGAGGAATAGGATCCATGTTCTCTTCCCAAAGACAAAGATGTAGACATGACAAGAAAGATCATGCTTCTGAAATTTTCCAGGTACTTGTTATGCAGCAGTTTGTAAAGTGCTCTTGCTGTACATATTATACAAATGACTGAATTAAAACAGGCGTCACTGATGCAGTGATAACCCCAGTTTTACAGTGACTAATTAAAATCTTGCTGGTTTATGTAGAGTTTGGGACTGAAGATGGCAACAAATGGGTTTTTTACATCGTGTTACTGCCCACTGACCATGCGCTACTCTGGTGAGACATGTTGGCCTTGGTGAACCATAGCAATTCGTCATCAGGATAGTATGAGCAAAAGTCATGAGTGTGTTATGTCTCTGGTTTTGTCAGTTTCTAGGAACCACAAGATGAAAACCTTTAGCAGAAGATTACATCTTCTGAATTCTTCACCTGTTGCAGCCGCTCTCCCTGCTGGTCCTGCTCCTCTTGCTCCTCCTGCTCCTCCAATAGAGACAGTTCGCACTTTCTTCCCTGAGACGTGGATATGGGACCTGGTGGAAGTTGGGTGAGCTTTGCTGACCTGTCCACAGCAGTACATTACTTAGCTTCCATGTCTGACTCCAGCCTGCTTCTCTAAACTGGGGGCATCCTGACTAACATTGACTCTATGTAATATACTGTTTATGGATAAGTACCCCATACAACCTTACTTCGAAGAATCTCAACTATCCCTTCTGTCAAACATGTTAAAAGTGAGGATGTTGAGCATAACAAATATTGTCTTCATTTGTAGCATGTAATCTTGTGACACTACACCTTCAGAATCTGACTGACTGAAATGTTTCTCTTTCCTTCTCCCTCTCACATCATCTCTGACTAATCTGAGTCCTGTAAAAGTTTCTCTGACTCACAGTGTGTGTCTGTGTATCTGCTGATCCAGAGAGTCTGGAACGAAAAATGTGTCCCTCACTGTCCCGGACACCATCACCACCTGGGAGACGGAGGCTTTCTGTCTGTCCCCTCAGGGTTTTGGCTTGGCTCCTCGTAAAGAGATCACCGTCTTCCAGCCTTTCTTCCTCGAGCTCAGCCTGCCCTACTCCATCATCCGAGGGGAGCATTTTGAACTGAAGGCAACCATCTTCAACTATCTGTCCAGCTGCATCATGGTAATGAATATTTTTAACTTGAAATACTACTGAGCTATTGTAACTGTTGGAGGAGAAATTGACTGAAGGGATACAAGTTAATAACACGCGGGCATTAGATCACTGGCTAACATGCTGAGCACCAGCATTTTAAAAGTGAAGTGTGTAAGATTTAGGGGGATTTGGTGGCGTCTAGCAGAGAATTACAGTTTGCAACCAGCTAAAACTTCTCCTGGTTAGAATTCCTTCAGTGTTCATTGTTCAGGAGGTTTTTATCAGGAGCTGAATTATCCACAGAGGTCTCTTCTTCTCCAAAACAAACAGACCCAGTGATTTAATCTGGTAAAAACACTGAATGATGTCACTTTACATTACAAATCCATGTATTTATGGCGCAGTTTGGCATGACGCTGCAGGCAGCTAGTCCAACACAGGTGTGGTCATCTTTTTTCTCTGAGAACATAAGATCCAGATGTTCAGGAGGTTTTCATCAGAAGCCGATTTATCCACAGAGGTCTCGTCCTCTCCAAAACAAACAGACCAGGGGTCTCATTTATAAAACAGTATGTAGGATCCATATTCAACAATTTCTACAATCAGGCTTCCACCTCACCATCTGCATTGCTAATTTTCCATCTCCAAAACATTCGTAAGTATGGGTCAAAGTTTCTCCAATCAAGTCTGCTTTTATCGATCACAACTTTTGCATTGGAAGTGGCGTATGCTATCTCAGGTGACTTAACCCTATGGGTCCAAACGATGCATAGTGCGTCCAAATTCACACCTGTTCTTCTCTATGGTTTTTCTCCACGACTGTGCATCATAGCGAGAAGCCATGCATATCACATGAAACAGCAGAACTGTAGCTTTCCGACAAGACCAAGCACTTGTCGGTAGTCCAATGTTTTCACAGCGAAAAAAAATTCTGTATAACAGAGCTTTCATACAGCTTTGCACACACATTACTGTTGGATGGATTACTCGCGAATGCAGGGTCGCACAGAAATGCCACGCATATCACATGAAAGCGCAGGAGCAGAGCTTTCCAGTGATACCACACACATCATTGTGCTGTCATCCCATCACGCTATAAATACAGATCAAGTGTCTACAAAATAAAAACCTGATGAATTTCTTTACAACCCATTATACAGATCTTGTTATCAGTCACTTCATATAGTGAGGAATATCGTATCTTACCACGTCTTAGGCTTCCATGTGTTTCTCCCTGTCTATCCACATTTGTAGTCCGGCTTTCAAGATGCAAATATCTCCATATTGTCCAGTTGACACTCCATCAAACTTTGTATGACAAGACCAGCCCATTTCACCTTTGCGCACCCAGACAACTGCAGCCTAATTATGCATGCTGACAGGGCCGTAGTCACATATACACTGAGGGGGACACGCCCCCCTGTTTGTCTGTTCTGGGCTACTGTAGAAACATGGCAGTGCAACATGGTGATCTCTTCAAACAAAGACCTGCTCCCTGCTGTAGATATTTTTCATGGTGATTATACACTAAAGAAAACATACTTATTATATGATGTCATATTTCTGCCAATATATCCCCCTAAATCCTGCAAACTGGACCTTTAAGTACCACGGGACTGACCATGTAATGCCTTACACAGTAAGTCCAAAGTAACTGAAGTGGATCATACAAGTGTGTATTTTTATTAAGAGCCTCACTCTTCAGAATCCATCCATTTATTATCTGTAACCGCTTATCTGATTCATGATCTGATTGGAGTCAATCCTAGCTGACATTGGGTGAAGGCGGGGTACACCCTCTACAAGTCTCCATACATCACAGGTCTGGAGTCAAAACCTGATGTAATGAAATAGTTTCAGCACATATCACTTGTTTTTACATTTCTGTTTGTAAAATCAGATGTAACGCATCAGTGAGTGAGCTTTACAGGTGTTGGCACCCTAGCTCTTCATTGTTCCCCCAGTCATTATGCTAAAGCTAAGCGAATCACCTCCTCGCTCCAACAAATGGTGTTGATCCTCTCTTCTAACTCTTGGAACAAAAGTGCAAACGTTTTCTTCAACTGTTTCTCTTGAACAGGTCACTGTGGCTCCAGACGCCTCCCTAGATTACACCCTCATCCCCCTGTCTGATGACCAGTACACATCCTGTTTGTGTGGAGGTGAGCGCAAAACCCTCAGCTGGACCATGGTCCCCTCAGCCCTGGGTAAAGGTCACACCTGTATACTTGTGTCAATAAAAAAATCACCACACCTTTTTGCACAGAGATGGTGCTACAGGGTCGCTACAGAGCGCTATAAGGCTGCTGCAGAGTCCCTTCTTTACACTGGCTTTGCATTTTTACACAGAACCAAATGATAGCAGCATAATTTTGCTCCAGTGCTCTACTCCAGTTATAGACAGCATGCCAGCATTGCAGAATCAAAAGAGGCATGGCCGGCGCCACATTTAACCTCTAGTGTGATATATAACACATACATCAGCAGCACCTAATACACCGCTCGACAGTGCGAGTGTTTCACTTGCATTTGCGACTAAAAATAGGTGTGTGCGAACTGTAAAAAATAGCCTATATTTTTGTCAATAAAAAAATATGATAATCTAACCGCAAATGTTGGAGGAACTCCAGCCGCCTTCCCTCTTCCCTCTTCCCCATGTGACACAGTTATGGGTGGTTTTCCAAGCCACTGTCAGCACAATGAATATATAAGTCCCACTGTCGGCAGGGTGGAAATAAGTCAAAGTGTGGCGGAGGAGACGGACCGGGTTAAGCGGTGGACCTCCGGGGAAGCCTGCTCCATTCTCCCTGCAGTTAGGGACCGTTCTCCACGGCCAGGCTGTCGGCTGGGTGGAAATAAGTCAAACTGTTTCCGACATTGTGTCATCTTGCCTCGCTGCCTTTCTCTCATGCTGCTTCCCTTCAGCTTCCTCTGCTCCATTTTTGGTGCTGCCTCTTGAGCCGTCCTCTCAGGCTGTTCTCTCCCCCGGTCCATCACACCTTGACTTATTTCTTTCCATATTTTCGTTGCTAAAGGCCCTCCTCTCCATCACTTCATTGGTTGTAGTTGTCTTGTCTGGTTGGGTGGCCGCCTTGTCAATCTGTAAGAGACTTTTCTACCAGGTGCAGGTATCTGGCACTAACAGCAGGAAGTAAAATCACAGCATCCCAGTGATGATAAAATAAAAGCATGCAAATAAAAACTGTCAAATTAAGCACAATAAAAACCTGCAAGATAAAGCAACACAGCAATATATAAAAACACACAGCAAAGATAAAACACTAGCACTAACTTTTTATTTTATACACTATGTGGAATCATTGTCCAACTGCCTTCTTGCTTATCTCAACTACAGCAGTGCCAAGTCTCCAGAATTTTTTTTTTTAGGGGTTGTGAATGTGACGGTGCGTGCTGAGGCTGTGGCATCCCAGACTTTATGTAACAATGAGATTGTGAGCGTGCCAGACAGAGGTCGTATTGACGTGGTCACACAGTCTCTCATAGTAAAGGTAGGAGCTGTAACAAAGTGACAACAAAAATATTTGTCTATAACCAATATTTGTTTGTTTGTGATCATGAAATGAAATAAACTTAGCTGTTCTGTCTTCCCACCTCTGTCCCTCTCAGGCTGAAGGAACTGAGATGACAAACACCTACAACTGGCTGCTGTGTCCAAAAGGTCAGTGTGGTTTACACCAGGAGTTCTAAACCCAACCCTTACATGTGAAGACATCAGCTGAGCCATTTGTAAGGAGGGTGTTAGGAGACTAAAGCAAACAGCTGGATCAGCTTTGCCATTCTGCTCCCACAGTTCATAGTATTATTTCAGCCCCCAGTTTAAAAACTATTCTGTCCATTAACTGTGTAGCCCAGTAGTGTTGTTTTACCAGATTTGTTTTTCTTTATTGTTTAGTGTTTCTATCTTTTTAGACAGTGTGCAATCAAAATATAAGGTCGGTATTTTTCAACATCTAACTTATTTGTTACACCAATGCAACTAGATGAGATGGTGTATCGTCGCTATGCAACAACTCTGTACTTCTGTTCTGATTTGCGGCTTTTCAGGTTCAATTTGTGACTGAAAATAATTTGTAGCTTCTTAAAATATGAATGAGGATAGTGATAGTGAGATACTGGCTACAGTTGCATTTGTAGTTGTGATGAAACGGTGAAAAACAGAAACAAAAGGAGCATCAGATGCACTGTATTTATGATAAATACGCCACAATAATATACATAACCAGTACCAATTAATTAATCAATGATAATGTGTGTGGGTGGGGCATATAGTCAGGTGGCGCTGGACAAAAGTGCCATATTTTCTCCAAATGCTGTCCATACCCATAGCTTTCCATTTTACATTATGGCGGCCATCTTGGATTTTGAAGTTGGCCGCCATATAAAAACCTATATCTACCATTTTCTCAGCTTCTAAGCCACTTAGGATCAAAATGTTGGTGTCTAATCATACATTTTCAGGGTCAAGGAATACGACTATACCATTTTAAAATACATCAGAAGTCTTTTTGGTAGCTCTCTGCAGCTTCTCTTTGCTGAATTTGACATAGCAAGATATGTGCCATTCACCTTGGTTTTGGACCAATTCATCTACAGTCACGTCCTCTCCAAAGTTGAGCACCACTGGCAATGTGCCCAGGACTCTGAAAGCACTAACATTATTTAGGAAGGAACTGTATGGTTCTGACTTGTCTACACTTAGTGTAGTGTAGTTTCTTGCAACTCTAGAATTAAGATAAAAATATTCACAAACGAAGAAACACTTCTGGTTGCTGATAAGTAGTGTTTAACTTTTGATTTAACACTAAAAATTAAAACCCTCAGCGCACTGCAGCGCAAGCAGACAGATGTGCGACTCAGAGCAGCATGTGTCACTGACACCAGACTCAGCATGTCACCGTCAGCATATTATTTTACATCAATAAAATCTATTTTATCATTATTTTGAGTCACATTGTTCAAAGAATTTAGTTGGCTGTGTTCAAGCAGGATAATAGGTCTCCATTCATTGCACGTTGGACTTTCTATTTCCTTGTCGGAGATGTTTTCTTTTTTAATTACATGATAGCTATTCTCCCTTAACTCACCAGTAAAGAATACCTTTGTCCATTTCAAATAACCCGTGGCAATAATAATATCCCTGTTCTCTGATTTACTGTGAAACTTTTTTAGGCAATTCATGAAACAATCAGACCACATGACTTCTTTACTCGGCCTAATGGGGCCGGCCTTTATTTGTCAACCAACCAAAAACAATCAATCAATTAAAAACACAAACTGGAACTGGAACATGAAATCTTATATGCCTTACAGACATTGCTTCTCGTTCTTTGAGTTTACATATGGCTAAACGGGAAAAAACAACCGTAAACGGATGGCATGATTAGTGTTGCATTCAAGGTCCCCCAAAAAAACGGGAGAAAAAAAGGCTGAATATTCAATTTTTTTTTTTTCACAATCGAATCCCGTGCCATCGAACGAAGCTTTGAATTTTTTGGGTCAGCCCTAAATCCCACATGCAAGGGGCTAGCCATAAGGTTGTTGTTTTCAGCAAGTTGGCCTTGAATAGCTGATGTTGAGCTGTAGAGCTGTGTTACTTGTTATGACCTAAGGTGTATTTTAATAAACCTGCCTTTGGTTTAATTTATTCTTTCAAGCTTTATTCCTTTTCATCTTATCTGAGTTCTGTTGTATGTTTGTGCTCCATAGATTTAATTGCAAACTACAACTGTTTAGTAAGTTAAAGATGCGTTGCTGCTAACGACAGCTTGAAGTGGCGATGAGATCTTAAGGTTTTTTTGGAAGGTCTTAAAAAAGTCTTAAAAAGGTATTGAAATTAGCCTCAGGATTCCTGCATATACCCTGATCAAGCAATTGTTCCAATCCATCTTGCTTGTTAACCTAAAAATACACAAACATGTTTTTGTTAACCATGGCCCACAGCTAGGGTTAAATATTTATTATGGAATGATTCTCTTTCAGAATTTCTGTTCTGAAACCTAAATAAAGGACTGTTTATCACAAAATAGTGATTCAGTGCCATGGACAGCACCACCCCTGCAGACAGCCGTCCCTGGTTATTCCTTTAGCCATCTAGTCACTCCTCACCTGTGAAACGTCATCCTTTGAGCTTCCTCCTTTTGAGCTGCCTCACCAGAGCAGCCTGCACTGTGCTCTTTCTTTTGATAGTAAGGAAAAAATACAGCATGTAGCCTAACCATGAAATTTTGAGTGGAACGTTCGAGTATTCCTGAAACAAAATTGCAGTGGAAACTCATCACAAATTCACTGTTATTTATTCCTCACCTGGAAAGCCTGGCTCTGAACAACCATGTTTTGGCCATGGCAGTCCCCAGAGGTGCTTCCTGCTGCTTTCTATATACAGAAATAGCGACATTAGTTACCATGTTACAATTACAGTATTACATACGACATAGCTAAATGCTCATCTTATTTTTAACATAACTAACACAACTAAACGCACATGTTGGTAGAAGGAGACAGACAAACAAGATAGCTTGAAATCCTAGCTAGCATCCTAGTGAAATTGTACGATGGGATGCCTGTAGGACTACAACCCTGTTTCCATTAACAAACGAGTAACTGCTACTAACTACTACACAGAACCACATCAAGTCAGAATGTAGCATAAGGGGGTTGTTTAAAAGAAGCTGAGTAAATTCATATAACATAGGCTAGTAGGGAAAAAGTAGTAGACAATTTCTGTATTTTAACGAAAGTGCTAAACACATTACTGTGTCCACTAAGCCCATAGAAACCATCTGACACAAAAAAATTATTTCATTTTTTTTATCTGACACTATTTTTATTGCTATAGTTGTATTCCTTGACCCTGAAAATGTATGATTAGACACCAAAATTGTGATCCTAAGTGGCTTAGAAGCTGAGATAATGGTCGATATATAGGTTTTTATATGGCGACCAAATTCAAAATCCGTGCTGTATGTTTTCAAACCAGCCGCCAGCAATTTGACCAGCTGAGTTGCAGGTGACACCATCAGCTGGGTTGAGTTGAGCCCAGACGGCCACTTCTCACCGCTGCAACTTTTCTCTGCAACATTCTAAAATGGTTACATCTCGTTGTGAATCTTTGGCCTGAACTGGCCTAAAGTGACCAGTCTTTTAATAGGTCCAGTGTTAAGCAGGAAGGCTGCAGCCAACAACCACAACCGCCAGAGTCCAATTAAATAAACAGTAAATGGTACACTTTACTGCTAACATTACAAACGAGACAGTTTTCTGTCACCATCATACTCCATCGTAATTCTTCTTTCTTTCCTCCTCATAATATCATTTGCTGTAATACTTTCCAATAAATGTCACTCACGGTGATCCATTATGGTTTTTATATCTGTCTTTAATATTTAAACAATATTGGTGTTTTGTATTTGAACAAGTGTTATTGAAGGTGATCCCTCAATAATACCAAGTATTTTTTACATGACCAGCCTTCAATGTACAATATTGTTGTATTTTTTTTATACCTCTGGTATACCGCTGGTGGTAGCCATGGCTAGAGGCACTATGTTTTCGGGTTGTCTGTCCCATTCTTGTGAACACAGTATCTCAAGACCGCCTCAAGGGAATTTCTTCAAATTTGGCACAAATGTCCACTTGGACTGAAGAATAAACTAATTAGAATTTTGTGGTCAAAGGTCAAGGTCAGTCTGACCTCACAAAATCTGTTTATGGCCATATCTCAAGAATCCAAATTATGACAGAACTTTACACTTGGGTGACATTTTATATTCAAAAGGTTAAAGGTCAACTTCAATGTCACATCATAATATTCTGCATAAAACAGTTTTCTGGCCATGACTCAACGTCACATCCCAGGAATAGAAGTGGAGACATTTGGTCAGATACTGAAATGGTGACACTAATCTTTGGTGTCCACCCTGAAACAGTTCTCCTGATGGTGGTGCTATAGAAACTGTTAGTTATGAGAAATATAGAAAACATTAAAGCCGTACATGCTTAAATCTAAATGGCAAATTTTAACTTTCTTGTAAGGATTTCATAATAGTTTAATGAGCAGTTGAGTTTGTATTTGTCTGTGAGTGTTTGGTGTGTGATTTGTTTCTCCAGTGTTGTTTTGTGACCATTTATCCTTTATCTCTGTACCCAGGAGAAGCACTGACAGAGGAAGTAGACCTGCTGCTCCCTGAGAATGTGATCGTTGGATCTGCCCGAGCTTCAGTATCAGTGCTGGGTAAACCGAGGGATCGATTTGACTTCAGTTGCTCATTTGGCTTAGTGTGTTGGTATTTTGCCTTCTGTTCGATGGAGTGGAGATGAAGAGATAAAGGCAGATAAAGAAACATGGGGAGAGATGGGGTTGGGAGGATGACATGCAGCAAAGATTCTTGAGTGGTGTGTAACCCTGCAGGTGATACATCCAGTGTGTGGGGATGATTTTTGCTTGGTTTCTCATCCAGCCTCAGATCTCTAAAAACAAGGACAACCTCTTCAGAAAATCCTCTCAAGGTCACTTTAGTTGTGTTTTTGTGCAGGTGACATTTTGGGCCGAGCCATGAAGAACCTGGATGGGCTGCTGAAGATGCCGTATGGATGTGGGGAGCAGAACATGGTGCTCCTGGCCCCCAACATCTACATCCTCCAGTACCTGAGAAACTCACAGCAGCTGACCCCAGCCATCAAGGAAAAGGCCACCAACTTCATGACCAGTGGTGAGTCTCTGTTGGTTTTACATTGCTGTGAAAATTTAACAGACGTTTAGACTTTGGAAGACATAAAATGGCCCTTTTTGAAGTGAGATAAAGAGAGTGGGCACTGGGCAGCAGACAAATGACCCATAAACAGTCGAATATCAGTTTTATTTGGAAGAAAGATGCCTCACCCTTCTGATTACCTCTGCACATTACCTTCCCAACATTTACATATCAAGGTCACACAACAGTTATTTCGAGAGCATAATCCCCACTCTGTTGCTGCTGCAGTGTGCAGTTCAGGGCTGTGCTCAACGTGGGTGGAGTCAAATGTTTAGCGCTGTCCTACGTTAGCAGTTCTGACTGTGTTAGCTGCTAGTTAGCTAGCTGCTACCCCACGATTCCTCACAGCCTCACTCCTGGAGTAGGAGACTAGTTTTGCCATGAGGAAAGCGGCCAGCACACCCAGTAAGGTGGAGACAGACTTGCTGAAGCAACTTGAAATCAGCCAGAGCTAACCCGTTAACCCAGTGCCAGGGGTGATAGCAGCAGCACAAGATCCCTCTCACAGTCAGATGTAGAGAACAAAAGGTTGAAAAGAGAAAGAATAGTGTTGCAGTGTTCAAAGGCCGGACATTGAAACTGTCCGTTGCAACCTTCTGTATGCAGAGAGTGGCTGGTAGTGGGCAGCATATATACGCTTAGGTCTGTCCTGCCTGTAATTTAGTGTAAGAAATAGAATTTCATAATGATTGAAATCATGTTTCCTTTGTTATCCAGGCTACCAAAGACAGCTGAACTACAAACATTCTGATGGTGCTTACAGTGCTTTTGGATCAGGAGAGGGGAACACTTGGTGAGAACATGTGTTTGTTTGTGCCAAACCATGGTTTCCCACTGTTCATTTACAGCATTTGAAATATTTCAAGATATATTAAGTGGTGTCATTTTGCTAAATACTGCACTCCTGTTAAAGTGGAACAGTAATATAATCTGTTTTCAGTGTTTCACCTTCTTAGACTGTGTTCACAATGTGGACTTAAAGGGCCAGTGTGTAATATTTGGCATGGTTTATTGTCAATCTGAATCTGAATCTGAATATTCTACCCATTAATACGTTTATACAAGTGTATGATCGCTATAAAATAAAATTAGTTTGGTTTTCGTAGCCTTATAATTATGCTTTTATATATATATCAAGGGCCTTGCTTTAGAGAGGTCGCCATCTTGCACCGCCATGTATGTACGGCAGACCGAGTGGACAATCCAGCCAGCCAGAGAACACGTTTCGCGTGTATAAATGAACCAACAAAGACAGCGGAAGGAAGGAAGAAGGAGGAGGAAACAGCAGAGTGTTAGTAGTTCATCGATAGAGAGTAGAGAAAAGTTTTTTTAGTTATAAAGTTTGCGAATGGACCACACTTACCACGCAACAGGAGAGAATGAACCCGAACCGTCATCTGCGAGGAAAAGAAGACGAAGCTTCACTCCTTGTGATGCACTCTCTGCAGCGCTTTTCCTCCTGATGATATATCTCCCCAACGATGGTAGCAGTAGCACCGAATCCCATTCTGTGCATTCAACCTCTCTTCTCACCCGCTCAGCATCAAACACATGGAGTTCCTCATCTGTATGCTCCGGCTCAAACAGGTATGGCTCTGGGTCTGTGTCCGCTACAAGAAACTCTTCAAAATCGCGTTCAAAGTCGTCCATTGCAGCTACTATAGTCCGGAGATATTGCTAGGCTAAATAAACAGCTGATCACTGTTTACCGGCTACGCTGTCAGTCAGTGTGCGGGCTGGAGATTGGTGGAGCAGAGAGGGGAGGGGGGTCCCCACTCAGTATTGTAAACGAGTATGTGTGTAAAGTTAGAAGTGTGTGTGTTATGCTAGAAGAGTCAGAGTTTGGGACGGAGTCTTTTACCCCCTGGAGTGTTACTGGAGTTTCTGGAGTGCTCAAATAAACGGGCCTTTTTCCCGAACGCTCCTCTGGTCTCCTGCTCGTGAGGGATTCATTAGAATATCGTAACATGGTTTAGATTTCTAAATAAACATTCACCTCGTCGCTAGATAGACCTACTCCTGAAAAAGTCGTGCGCAAGGCTTTTTGTCCCTACGAGGCCACCGTCATTTACCCGACGGGAGGGGTGAGCGAGTGAGCCCTGCAATCTAGAATTTGACCACTGATGTCACTGTTTCCAGCGGTTTTCAACCCATTTTACACACTGGCCCTTTAAGACGGTGATATAAGGACATAATGAAACTATAAAACAGTGTGTGATGAGCTCGGGTGTCCCTCACTCCTTTGAGATTACTAATGTTCTTTTGTTTTTCCTCAGGCTCACTGCTTTTGTTCTGAGATCCTTTGTCAAAGCACAGTCCTTCATCTACATCGACCCGAGCAACACTGAACAGCCAAAGACTTGGCTGATCAGCAAACAGCAAAAAAATGGCTGTTTCCAAAAGTCAGGAAAACTCTTTCACAACAGAATGAAGGTAGGGGCAAAGTGCCTGATGGGTAGATGCTGTTACTAAATTTAAATCAGCATGTCTCTGTGCTGGTGATAGCCGTAGCTGGAGGCATTATGTCCGTCCATTCATCCCATAGTCGAGATACTTCATGAACGCCTTGAGGGAATCTCAACAAATTTGGCACAAACGTCCCCTTGGACTCAGCCATGAGCTGATTAGATTTTGGTGGTCAAAGGTCAAGGTCACTTTGACTTCTATCTCATATTTTGAAAAAATCACGTCACCTTTTTTCACACTAATTGATTCATTTATTAAGAATCCAACAGCGCGACTTCACTCATGTTCACGACAAGGTGCTTAAGATGAGATCATTCATAACTGGTGCTTCCTCTCTACAGGGTGGTGTGTCTGATGAAGTGACTCTCAGTGCTTATGTCACTGCTGCTTTCTTGGAGATGAATATGTCTGTAACGGTGAGTAGACCTGTTGCAGCACAATCATTCTCACACTGTGTTCTCACTTCTGACTGGATCATTGAAGCATCAGCAACTGGAATGACTTTATTTGCATTGCACATTGTGCAAAGACATGTGCTGTGCAGCTCCTGAGACAATTTAATCATGCACACACACACACACACACACACACACACACACACACATGCACCTGCCAAACAGATAAATAATAATGTTAAAAAAGAGAGTATACAAAAAGTGAAAGTACAGTTACTTCACATTTCCTCATAGCGATTATTCAAGGTTAGTCCTGTGGTGTGGAGTGCTGTGATGATGTTGGGGGAGGGGGGACAGTGGTTTGTGGAGTTCAGTGATGCTGCTCTTGATCATAGAAGTGTGGGTCTTCAATGCCCTGTATCGTCTTCCAGATGGCAGCAGAGAGGAGAGATGGTGATAGGTGTGAGTTACATCCTCAGAATGCTGCTGGCTCTGCAGAGGCAGCGTGATCCGAACCAGCTTTATATTCTATATTCTATATTTTGTCTGTTCTAGAATCCTGTCATGAGGAGGAGCTTATCGTGTCTCAGGGAGTCTATCAGTGACCTCAACAACACCTACACTACAGCTCTGCTGGCGTACGTCTTCACCCTGGCAGGAGACATGGAGACCCGTGCTTACCTACTGAAGCACCTAGACACTGTTGCAATACAAGAAGGTGAGTCGTCCTCGTGAAGGAAATCATTTTTGCTTCATTACTGTGATTGTAGCTCACCTTGTGGCTGGTTGTCTGTTTTTAGGAGGTTTCCTCCACTGGTCTCAGACAGCAGCAGAAACATCAGCCTCTCTGGCTGTGGAGATCAGCTCATATGTGCTGCTGGCCAAACTCAGTGCACCTCCTTCTGCTGAAGACCTGGGATATGCCACCCGAATCGCCAGGTGGCTGACGGGTCAGCAGAACCATTATGGAGGCTTCTCCTCCACACAGGTACAGCTAAAACAGCATTCAGCTAAACTTACATTTATGCTACCGAGGGCCAAGCTGCTCTGCAGGTAAATGCTTTTTCTGTGCACGTCAGTCTTGAGGCTGTTTTCAGGTGGGAGATCAGTGGAGGATATGTGACAACAAGACTAAGGGCTCTGTTTTCGTTTGCAGTCTCAAACTGGAGTGATGCCATATGAAGGTTACTGGCATGATGTGTTTATAACTGTGTGTGTGATTTAGGACACCGTGGTGGCTCTTCAGGCTCTGGCTCTCTACTCCACTGTGGTGTTCAGCCCAGAGGGTTCAAGCACAGTGACAGTCCAGTCTCCCAGTGGCCAGCTAACATTTGATGTGAATCAGAACAATCGACTGCTCTACCAGGAGGAGGCGCTGCAGGATATGACAGGAAAGCACAGCCTGGAGGTGGAGGGCACTGCATGTGCTGCAGTACAGGTCAGTCACTGTGGCTCTTACTGATTCTCTTCTGTGCACATGCATTTACCACCTCTGAGGCTGAGCTCAGGTCAGTAACTCTCATGTTTTGCTGGAAGAAGTTTTGGTACTTAGCCTCTACTCCATGCTTTAAATGAACTCCCCTTACTGGTATTCAACACAAAGCAGGGTGGCTACTTGTGTACTACCTGTAAATGATATATTCTGTTTTGGCATATTCATGAATCCCAAATCAGAATACTTGAGTAACTAATCTCAGCATGAAGAAAAAATCTTGAAGAGGATATTTGTTAATCTTCCTGATGTGTCTGTTGTCCAGATTTCTCTTCACTATAACGTCCCAACTCCTACTGATGTCACAACCTTCAGTGTTGAAGTCGAACCAGAGGCCGACTGCACCAGTGAAAGACCCAAAATCACTCTGACACTAAAGTTCCTGTAAGTAATCAATTCACTAGTTATAGAAAAATACTGAAATGTTAAACAAACAGTCCTGTGCACCCAATAACAGATATACTGGAAAGGAGACCACAACCAACATGGTGATCCTGGATATCAAAATGCTGTCTGGATTTGTCCCAGACCAAGAGTCTCTGAAGAAAGTGAGTTATTACAGTAACTTTCATCTTTAGTAGACAGGAAATAGTTTTCATATGTTGCTGAAGAACCACCCAGCTGATTATTGACTCCTCACAGCTCAAAGGTGCCCTGCTGGTGGACCGTGTTGAACAATCAGACGATCATGTTCTGGTGTACATACAGGAGGTGAGGAATAATACACAGTAAAGGAACGATACATGATGCTCTCCAGATTTGTTACTGATCATGTGGTCTGTTTGTCCTCCAACAGTTAACAAAGGACATACCCATCAACCTCAGCTTGGAGCTCATACAGGAGGTTCTAGTGCAGAACCTGAAGCCAGCCGTGGTCAAGATCTACGACTACTACCAGCCAAGTACATCAGTCCTCTTTAAACCTCCTTTACAAAGACCACAGCACACACTGACAAACTCTGCTCCTCGGTAGAGCTGTACAACAACCTGAAAGTCATCAGAATCCTAATATTGGTATTAATCGCTTAATCGTCTAATTTCAAAGCTTTTGTCTGACGTCCTGTGGGACAGATTCCAGCACTTCAACACCTGAAAGAAGGACTAAAATGTCAACGTTGAGAGGCAGCAGTTTTGCTTAGAGGGGGAGATGCAGTATGTCAGACAGCTTCATAAACAAATTTAAAATTGTTGTGGTGGTGGGGGAGAGAGGGGGATTTGGGGGAAAGTTCAGTTTGTGGATGGCTGTGGGGTAAAAACTGTTCCCCAGTCTGGAGGTGCGACATTTCAGGGCCCTGTAGCGTGTTCCCGAGGGCATTAGTGTGAACAGGTGGTGAAAGGGATGAGTTCTGTCTTTTACAATCCTGCAGGCTCTGAGTCTTTCTTATCATTGCAGGTTTCCTAGAAGAGTTTTTCTATACAGTTAGCTCCTAAATAAACATTTCTGTCTGTGTTGATTAGTTCAGTACAGCTTTTAAAGACTTTGGGTTTGTCTGTGACAGGTGTTTTAGGTGAATTTTAGAGGACCACTGTGTGGTTTTAACTTGGTGATTATCTACAACAACCACAAAGAGAGTTTTGCAGTGTTTGATGGGGTTGTTTGTTTAGTCTCTGACTCTTGTTTTTCCTCCCAGGTGACCAGGCTGAGACAGAATACATCTACCCTTGTGCTCCAGGTAACAATCTGTAATGACATACTGCACAGGAACATTTGTACAATCCCATTAAAAGAACAGTTAATTCAGAAACAAAATAAACTGTATGTAGCTTTCACCTCGCCTACGCTCTCTATGATCACAGAAAACATTTTCTATCAAACAGCAATAAGGAGAGCAAAGTGCCAGAAAAATAAATCTGTATCAGTACAGACATATTTTGACAGGACCGAACAAAGGACGGCACAAAAGTTTGAAAACATTCAAAAAACATTCTGAAAATTCATGTGTGGCATTAAGAATTCGTTACCCACACATGCACCACAGATTCCTTCACAGAGGGATCATCCAAAAATGCTTTGTTAAGGAATAGTTCAGCAAAAGTAGTCTGGATTTTCATGAGCCCACAAATGTATACAAGACACTTGGATGACGCTGCACGGGAATTTTCAGAAAGATTTTCAGACATTTTGTAATCTTCTTTGCTGTCTTTCATTCGGCCTTGATTCAAGTCCGCTCTCCTTCACGCACCAGAAAACTTTTTGTGGGACCACAGTGAGAGGTGGGAGGTGAGTACTATATTCAATTTATGCTGTTTCTGGGTGAACTATTCCTTTAAACAATATGCTAAACTGTAAAACTGATGGTGTACAGTATACTGCGTGTGTTAGGCTGCTCTAACAACCTAATTTAAAGTTGTAGAAAATGATAAGACCACATTATACTGATTTATAAACACTGGTTAATTTGTTAAATATTGAAAGATATAATTATTTATTAAACTCATGTACAATGTTTGTACCCTGTTCAATTCAATGAAACAAAATATATTTCAATTCAGTAACCAAATGTCTGTTGAATAATCTGTTGATGTTCTTTCATTTGCAGTTTGAAGAGTGATGTGAGGTCTCCACTGAGAACTGTGACCCCCATTGACTGCACCATAATTGAACAGGACTTGGACTTTAAGATTTGATTGAAGATAAATGTGACTGCAGAAACATACTGAATATTCATGTTTGTGTGTGCACAAACTTGAGAACACAGCTCACATAAAAACCTGTTTCTTTCCTGACTCATCTTTCTCCGCGTGTGTTGCAGTGATTTCATAGAACAGCAGCCATGACTGATCTTTATTTATTTATCACATTTTCATTTATTTATTACACTCATAGGGGAGGGTTTCCCTCCACAGTATCTCCAGTTGAGGTCAGTGTTTCTCAGCATATAAGCACTGAGTGTTTCACATAAGATAGACATAAAACATAAAACAGACAAGACCATGTCATATAAAAGACATTTAAAAACAGTTTAAAATGAGTATTAACTGATTAGCAAAAGCATAAACCCTAAAATCCTAAAAAATGTGAAATGAAATAAATCATTAAAAGTCATAAGATTACAGAATTGTAAAAACAAATTCATAAAATCAAGTAAAATACAACATTTTATGGGAGCCGCAGCAATGTGAAGTGTAATAAGAGTTTCACACCTGTGCTCGGACAGTCAAAGCTTGTTCAAGTGAATAGATACACTTTGAACTGTTTCTGGGAACCTCCAACAAACCAGCAGCAGATGATCGCAGTGTTCTTGGAGGCAAATAGTTAAAGGAATAGTGCACCCAAAAATGAAAATTCAGCCATTATCTACTCACCCATATGCTGATGGAGACTCAGGTGAAGTTTTAGAGTCCTCACAACACTTGCGGAGATTGCCTCTCTGGGCAATCTCACGTGTGCCCGCTTGTGCGAGACCGTGAAACATGGGCACCGCGCACACACACACACACGTGAATGCGGTGCCCATGTCTCACGGTCTCGCACAAGCGGGCACACGTGAGATTGCCCAGAGAGGCAGTTAGAGCTGCAGGCTACAGTGAGGCTACAAACAGAGTTGAAATGATGTTCTTCCAAACAACTTTTTATGTCGGGGCTTCAGGACACTTGGATCACTACGGACGAGCAGTATGGAGATATTTTGTGCTTTCAATTATGTGTTTTTGGACGTTTGAATCTGGGGCGCTGTCAGCCTCCATTAGGTGGAGTTGTGTTGCTACCTCCTCTCCCCTTGGATCTCCGCAAGTGTTGTGAGGACTCTAAAACTTCACCTGAGCCTCCATCGGCATATGGGTGAGTAGATAATGGCTGCATTTTCATTTGTGTGTGTGTGTGTGTGTGTGTGTGTTGTTGAAGGGAAAAAAAAAGTCAAATTGCGGCATTGTACCAACGTTGTGCATTTATTTTGAAAGTGACTGTATGCAAACTGTACACTTCCTGTGAAAACGGACAATACATGTAACAGGCTGAGCTTGATACAGAGTCCCAGAACATTACCATCCAACACACTCAGGGTACCTTGCACGTCATAAAGTCCATGACCAAATGTCGATATGTGACAAGGTCAGAGTAGGCATGAGTGCACCCTATAAGGTTTATTTTCACATATGAAGGGAAGTCAGATTCGACCTCTGAGGACCGTGAGAGGTCAAATCCGCAATGGACAGGGCCTGAGGTGGACCCACCTGAAGGCCCTTAATGTGTCAGTTGACACTGTGCTAATGACACTAATGTTTTATGCGTGCTGATCAAACAGAAGTTCAGACTCTCTCGTAAGAAGAATGTTGCAATTAGAGTCTCTGATCTGATCAAACAAACCTTTTCTGACCCATGGCCCAAGGTTCCCTGGTAGCAAATACACATTACTCACTTTGTGTGTTTAAACATGCTGTTAATTATTACAATAAGAGAAAGTGGTGCAAACTTGGCTTTTTTTTTGCACCAAAGAAGCCAACAACTAAACAAAGTGCATGGGGTTATGCCGGGAATTCTAACGCCCCCGTTGAGTGGGAGTGCTGAAGAGTCACTCAGTGTTCTTTAACAGCTGATTGTATCACCACAACACGAGACAACATCATCATCTTTATTCTATATATGGCTTCAGTTTTGGTCTGATAGGCCTGTTACAGATGGTTTAGGTGTCACTGTCACATCATAGCTACTAGAACTGAGGTGCAACAAGTACAGACATTTACATATAAATATTTTAACCTCATAGTGTCTATCCTCTGCAGCTCCAGCTGCTTTGATTCACTGCATGCACCTCCTCTGCTTGAAAAGCATTCAGGTTTATTTAAAAGCACATTATCTGAAGTGGCTGCATGCAGTGCCTCAGAATCATAATCAGAAAACCTTTATTGTCCCTTGCAAGAAGCAATGGAAATTCGTCTTTGACGTGCTCACAAATGCACATAGAATAAAAACACAAGTTAAAACACAGTTTAAACATAGAACATCAATGAAGAATAAATACAGTGTGGACATTAAAAGATTTCATTGTGAGTTGTTGATGATGTTGATGCCGGATAAAATGAATGATTTTTTTGACTAAGTTTGTTCTTGCTCGAGGGACCCTGTATCTACGGCCTGAAGGAAGGAGTTGAAATGAGTTGTGGAGCGGATGTGAAGGGTCGTGTATGATGGTGGTGGCTTTCCATCTGACTGCTTGAGTGTGGAGGTCTGAGAGAGAGGACTGTGTGATGCCTGTTATTTTACTTGCATGTTTGATGACCCATGATGTGCCTCAGTTGTCTAAAGTCTTCTGTCAGTACAGATAGTTTAGTTTCATTGTTGCATCACTCTTAACAGTAAGACCCTTTCTTACTGTGTTGTAACTCCTGACCAGAATTTGAGGACTTTATCAGTCCACAAATGTTTACCTATTGGAAAAATTGTCTACTTTGGCCCTAGTAATCAGGTTAAGAACTGTTTGCATGGCGAAATCAAACAACCCACGCTGAGTAAAGGGCAGTTTAGCAGAACTCCGCTTACAGTAACAATGATTGTCCAAATGATTTATGGAAACAGTTCACTACAGCCCCCTTACATACATAGCACAGTCACCATAGAAGGAATGAGCAGGACAAAAAGATGTTGTAAAACGAGATATAAAGCACAACATTTGATCACAATATCATAAACTGTAGGAAAATGTCATTTTCACATTTTAGTTTTTATAGTTGGAATGACAAACCTTTTTAACCTTTCCTGATTAAACTTTTAAAATTGCTTTCAGCCTTAAAAACTGTATAAACCCTGTAGAAACAGACATCCCATGGACAGCCGCAGGAGGTTGTTTTTTGCATGATTCTGTTTAAACAGATATAAAATAAAAACCATATCAGCATGAGCATTCATTCTTTAGCAGCAGAAAGCTGAAGCTTCCATCTTAGCCGTCATCACATCATTGCCTTACGTTACCTTAACTTGCGTGTGGTGCAAACGTGGTAATCCAACTTAATTACGCTGGTACTTCCCCGTAATGGTCCTCTGTACATTTATATAGATCTATAATAAAAACCATAATAGCTAGAGCGTTGATTCTTTCTGTAGCAGAAAGCTTAGGCTTCTGTCTTCCCGTCATTACATTGCCCACTAATGATGACGTCAATGCACACGTTACTTGTGGTGCAAAATCAGACAAAAACGTGCAGCGTCGCTAGAAGAATGAATGATAAAACCAGCACAACACCTTTTCACTCTGCATGTAAAAATGAGCATATCTCTAAATCTAAATAATGTACGTAGTTCAAATAACTCATGACATGTTAGTAAATATTTTGTTTATGTTTAAATATTTTAAAACATTTTGGATAAAAATGTTTTGTGTTTTTATTTTGTAGAATCAAATGAAAACACGTCCATTTTTTAAAAATGTATTTATTTTTTAATGACTCAGTTTCAATATTTTTTTATAAGTTATTATAATTACTTGACTTCGATAACCTTTTAGCTTAGGCTGTACAGATTTTGGGGATATAAAGCATTTGAATATACTCAAAAGAAATGACATCAGAAAAAGCAAAAATACCAATGTATGCACTGGCGTACCGTTTCTGTTGCAGAGTTCAAAGGATTAAACACCCTGAAGTCTTTAAATGATTGACTCATAGGATACCTGGAAATCAAACAAAGGGGTTGCATCACAAGTGTGTGTGTGTGTGTGTGTGTGTGTGTTGGGAGGGGGGGGGTGCAGCGGGGGCAGGTTTCTCAATCAGAGGCTATTTAACAGTTGCTGACTCAGGGCTCAGCGCACATCTCAGTCAGTCATGGGTCGTCCTGGGATTCAGATGTGGACATGGACACTTTGTGTCGTCTTGAGCTGGGCGGGCCTGGGTCAAGCCGTGGCAGGACCGTAAGTTTTTCTGTAATCTTGAGCTATTAATGTTTGGTTGAATTATTTAAACATGAATGATGGGAAAAGATTTTTTACTCTGCAATCCTCAGTGTTGGAAATTCTTCCGTATCAGATCCAGTAAGATTTTTACTGTATGTTTCTGTGGCTGCAGGCAGTACATGGTGGCCATCCCTGCAGTTCTTGAAGCCGGAGCTGAGACTAAGTTCTGTGCAAGTCTCCTGCAGCCCAACGAGACCCTGGTCATGACCATTACTCTGATGTCCCAAGAGGCAAACACGACCCTCCTCAAGCAGACGTCCAGTCAAGAATTTCATCTCTGCACTGACTTTCAGGTCAGCTCTCCAGATTTGATTCATTTACTCATCTCCACAGGGCTGAAAATATGCAACAATTTTTAAGTAGGAGGACCTTAATGGGATTTCGTAACACATACTGTAACACACACACACACACACACACACACACACACACACAGTGGTTCAAAGTGCAGAGTCACAGGTCCATAGTGTACATTTGTGATATTAGGTTTTTAACAAATCAAGGGCAAACAGATCAAGTTAAATATCCATTCATTATTTTTTCAGTATGAGGTCATGGTTCTCTCTGTGTCTATAAAATATCTGTCTGTCACAGGTTCCCTTAGTACAGAAACAAACGATACAGATGTTCGAGGTGGAGGTACATGGCGACACATTTCACTCAAGAGAAGTCAGGAAAGTCATGATCAAAGTCCATAAACCAATGACATTCGTCCAAACAGACAAACCGCTCTACCTCCCTGGACAAACAGGTAACCTTGAGCTAAGGATCTATAATGTTGTAGGGTTACGCAGTATGGTACTGTGGGCAGATTCCCCCTTTACAGATAAATGCAGATGTGTG